CTAGACAACCCAAAAAGACTAGAACCTAGAGAACCAACGAACAACCCGACCAGAGAAGAACTCTATGAACTCACCAAAGAAATCAAGGCTAGCCCACGGACAAGAGGAGTGGGTTTGATGCATGAAAATAGAATACCATATAGAAAATAATCCGAAATTTATGAAACACATTGTCCACTAAGCTAGCCGGGCCATCAAAGGCATGCCTATTTCTTGCTTCCCATATGACATAAACCGTGATACTAAGGGCCACTCTCCTCATTTTCACTTCAAGATTGTTACGACGACGAAGAGGCCGCTGATAGCACTAGTGAGCATATGCATACCTCTGCGAATTCGCGACCATCGCTTAATTTTCAACCGGAGGTTAGTCGTCCAAGGGCGGGAGAAGAACAAATCGTTATGTAATTCGGTAGCTTGATCACAAAGAAGACATGCGTCACTCGGTAGTCGGAAAATGGAGATGATTCTTAGTTTTTAAGGCACCCCTAGCAACAAGCCGGAGAATAAAAGAATGTTGTGGCATGGACCATGACTCCCAAATCACCCTACCCCGAACACCGGTTCCCCTACTGGCCTAAGTCGTGTATTTACAATATTAGAGAAACTTCCCTCTATCGAGTTCCACCGAGCAAGCTCACGTATAGCTGCATCTTTACTCTCATATTTCATAACAAGCAAGTCTTTCAAATCGAGAATAGCTTTCCACAATGGCGAAGCATGGGCGGCAATGTCCCACACTCGGCTATCTTGCAAGTAGAAGTGATGGACCCGAGTAAATCCAAATGGAGTAAGCCTCGAGGTGTATGTCCCGCAGCCTTTTAGCTAGAAAACTTTGATTTTTCACTTTGATGTCAAAGACTCCTAGGCCACCATCCGATTTAGGGGAACAAAGGCTTTTCCAAGCCATCAAAGCCGAAGAGCTTCTTCGACATCTCCCGTCTATAAAAAATTCGACATATACCGGTGATACGTGCAATAACCATAACGAGCATAGGAAAGATAGCAAGCCGAATTGTATCATGCTCGAAGAGGACGGATCCGAGAAGCTCGAGCCTACTCGCATAGGATAGATGTTTTCCCATCTAGCTTGATGGCTAGGTCGGATACACTACCAAAGAGAGTTTTTCAAGTCACTTCCCACTCCACCGAAGAAGATCAAGGACTTGGCCACATTGATGGCTAGGCCGGATACACTACCAAAGATAGATAGCTAGCTAGAAAGAATCCCGATAGAGGTAGCACTCCATGTCTAAGCAACAAGACATCATCCGTAAAGGCTAGGTGGGTGATGGCATGGATCCCACATCGAGGGTGGAAGCGGAAGTCGAATTTCTTGCCGCAACTTGCGATAAGCGAGAGAAGTATTCCATGCGGACCATAAATAGGTAGGGAGAGAGAGGGTCACCTTGCCTAACACCTCGCTTTTCCCGAGAAGAACCCAAACGAGCCCTCGTTGATCGAAATGGAGTAGGAAGCCGATTCTACACATGTCATAATCCGACCAACAAATCTGCCCGGAAGCCCAATTGTAATAGAAGCTATTTTAAGAAACCACATTGCACGAGTCAAAGGCCTTACGAAAATCAATCTTCATTAGGCACCTCGGAGAGGATCGCTTCGACCATACGATCAAAGCAACGATCAAAGCAACTCCCGAACCAAGCAAATATTGTCCGACATTTTCCGACCCCCAAGTAGGCATTCCGCATAGGACTAACTATATCCATCGAGTCGAGGATAGCCGGGAGGAAATGATCTTAGTAATCACCTTATAAACTACATTACGGTAGGAGATTGGTCCGTAATCACTTGGCAAGGTAGCATTGGCCATTTTAGGGACTAAAGCTACAACAGAGTGGCCAACCTGTTTCGGGAGCTTCCTAGATACAAAAACTCTTTAACCGCTACACAAAAGTCTCTCCCAACAATATCCCAAGCCTCGTTTGAAGAAGAAGGAAGAGTACCCATCGGGGCCCGGTGCTTTATCATTGTCTATGCTCGAACGAGTGTCTTCGGATGAGAACCACCATGATCGGGGAGAGAAGCCAATCATGGCCGGCCATTTATAATCGAGGCCCACTAGCAATAATGTGTGGGTCAAGGGGCACCGTAGCTTTAGTGGTACCTAAGAGGTTTTTATAATAGGAAATAAACTCCTCTCCTACTTCTATAATAGAGGTAATGAGTCGCCCATCTCCCCGTTTAAGTGCGACAATATGGTTGGCTTTGTGCTTCGATTCATAAGGCGAAGAAAGAAACTAGTGCCTTTTTTGGAATCCTTAAGGAACTTGCACTTTAATTTCGACCAAAAAGATCTTTTTTAGGCTTTGAGATTAACCGGATGGAGCCGGAGCCTCTTTTCATTCCGATAAAGCTCCAAATTATCTCTATCCGAGTGAAGCTCGATCTAGAGTGTAGCCAAGTCGGATTCGGCTCGACCACCCTTTGGGAGATGTGGCTGAAATGGAGTGTGTTCGACTTCTTGAGTGGTTCCTTGAGAGATTTCAATTTGCGACAAAGGACATACATTGGGGTGCCACCGATTCTAGCTTCCCAAGAATCAGCCACGGTTCTCGGAAAATCAACGTGGGCAGCCCACATATTGAAGAATTTAAAGCTTCGGGTTCCAAAATGAACATGAGAGCCCAAGTCTACCATAACCGGAGAATGATTCGAAAAAGCGCCCGGAGGGCCAAAATGAAAATGAGCGAGGTTGCTCGGTGGAGGACCAAAAGGGTTAGCTAGAACTCTATCGATTTTAGTCCATACATCCGCCCTATTCCAAGTAAAATGGCTCCCCGTATAGTTAAGATCCGTTAGCCCAAGATCCGAGCAATAACTTCTAAAGTTGGCGAGTCTCATAGTTGGAGATAGCAGCACCCTTATGTTTATCAACTCGCGAGAGAATCGAGTTAAAGTCCCCGAGAATAAGCCAAGGGCGGTTCGACCGCCACCGAGGAAGATCGGTCCACAACCCTCTTCTAGTAGTGATGGAGTGTAACCGTAGACAAAAGTGGCATTAAAAGATAGCCGCTCTACAAGGTCGGTGATCCTAACATTGAGTCCTTGAATAGAGACATTCAACATATCAACTCGTTACGGTGCTTGGATTCTAAAAAGTGAAATGCGGGCATTTCTCGCTATCATAGCATTGGACATAAAGCTCCATTGCTTGAGTCTAAGCCGATGCATATTGACAAGCTTAGCGGAACCGAGTTTTGTTTCAACAAAGGCACACACATCAACCTTCTTTTTCTTCATGAGACGTACTCGCCTCATGCTATTTCGAAGGACTATTAAGTCCTCCGATATTCTAGCTAAATATAATCATAGACGAGCGGAAGAGGCCGAGCCCCTTCGACCCCCACTTCGCCCTTTCTTACCACTCTGCCGGCAACTCGCCTAGGCGAAGTGGCTCGGCGATCCGCTCTTCTTGTCCGATCGGGGGTCCAAATTGGTATCCCCAATGGAAGCCGAAACATTAAGGCATTTGCCTTCCTTATCGAGAACGACCCTCGTGATGGAAGGCCACGACTTGCCACTATCTTGTCCGTCGGGAGAGCCATTCCTACAAGTACCCCGAACCGACTCGCCCCGGCTCGATGGCCCCGCAATCCGGCTTGCTCAACAATTTGGCTTGTCGGCCCACCCGTGTCCCTCGTTGTTGTAACCTTCCACCCCGAGCCGAACTACGATCGGCTCGGTGTCGGAAAATGATGCTTGGACTCGTGGTAGAATCAACCAAAACATGTTTACCTTTATCGGTAGCTCTACGAGAGTGTGTTTTGCATTTTACTCGTCTCCCACTCGGCGGCTTCCACTAGCATGGGGTCGGTAGGTGAGTGGACTGTGGCTAAACGCCCTTGGCGGAATCACCCGATCGCTGGAAAACACTTGTTACGGCCTACCCGCCGCAGCTTCACTGCCATTGGTGGTTTCCTTACTCAATTCCGGAGGGGCTCGATTTTTGCATGTAGTTGTGGAATGCCCAAGTATACGACAATTTTTGCAATGAATGGGGAGAGTCTCATAAACAACTCGGTTGCAAGAGGGTGGTATTATTCGATAATAAGATGCCGACCATCCGAGGGAGAGTTTCCATAATATTCGTTCCACAAGGACTCGAGCATAGGATAGTCTATCCATTAAAGCAATCAAACGGTCACATTGGAGAGGTTTTCCCAACAAACTAGCAATCTTCGACAAACACAAGTGGACCAACATTTGAGTGGCAGATTGGGGAGCTAGACCCAAATAGGGATAGTAGCCATCTCGGAGGTGGAAAAATCAAAGTATTCCGACATTGGTCGTAAAATCAAAGCTCGCCCATAAATCAAATACGGTCCCCTATTAAGCACCAAAACCTTATCTTCCTCTCGATTTGAATTTATAAATAAGCTAGCCAGATTCATTTACTTTTAAAGAAGCCTCACAATGCCAAGTATCCTTGATGATTCCATTGAGGGCTTTAAATCCTGGATACTTACCGACAACATATCCCACAAGGTAAAATTTCCATAACTCACATTTGGTATCGGCGAGTGTGCAAAGTACATTGTTTGGATTCGGTGATAGTTGAAAAGTGTGACAGTTTAGGGCATAAGTCTAAGTTATGATTACTTACAAACAAATCTCGCCACTTGCCTTCCGAGGAAGGAATTGACCCTACTGCTCCTACCGTGGATTCATCGAAAGTCGGAGGCTTATGCATAGGCTGTCGCGTAACTAGCAATGGAGAAAGGGCCGACTCGACATCCGTAAGGAAATTAGGATCGAGCCACTATGGAGGATGGCAATGCAGCTGGGTGGCGACGGCGATTTGGCAAGTGTCAATAGGTTCCCTCAAAACCAAAAAAGGAGGAGCGGTTTTAAGGAGCGGAGATGGGGACACGTGCTCGGCTTCGAATCCGAATAATCCACCTCCTCTTCACCGAGGTTTGCCCCTTCCGAGCAGTCTTCAACCACAACAAATTCATGTCTAGGAGCAAGGTCATTGA